ATTCGAAGGATTTATACTTTTTATACCTTCCTAGGTATTATATTCATTTAGATTTATCTCTATATCTGTTTTTTTTAGCATCTCATAAATTTATGACCAATCATTTTTTTGCTATGCTCCTCTTTTTTTTTAAAAAAAAAAAGTTTGTTTTTTATAATAGTACCATTGGGATTCAACATAATCACATCGTTTTTCCTATTAATCCATGAACTTTCACATCAGGATCCTTCATTTTCACAGCAGGATCCTTCATTTTTACAGCAGAATCCTTCATTCTATGATTGGTTTAGAAAATATCACAATGTAGCAGCTTTATCCATTCTTTGCTCCGGGATAGATATTGACATATTGACGTTAATAACTTCAAAATTAGCGAATAGCCCATTTTTTAGTGCACCATTATCTGAATCAAGTAAAAATTGGATACTTCGTGCTAGCTGTATTAATTTATTTATTGAAGACGGGCCTCAGTTAGTTGTTCAGGTTAAAAATAATTATTATTATGATTATTATGATTCTTATGATATTATTTGATTAATCTTCAGTATGACTTACCTTTTTTTACTTTTGACATTTTTTTAATAGATATGCTATCTGATATATTCTGTAAACTATGATATAATACCTTTCATGAACCTATTGACATCCTCGTTACTTTTCTGTTGCATAATTATTGGTAGAATATGCAGACTTTTAAGACGCAAAGAAATACCTAATCATTCCGCCACCATCAACAACAGATCATACTTTGACCATGATGATGCATCATCGAAGTATAGCACTGAATACATTGAGGAAATACCATCGTCTCCCACTATTGTTCCTGAGACGAGGATAAAGCCGCCAGGTCATGTGTGGATGGGATTTGGAAATTACGGCATCCCGAGAACTCATTCTCAAAGAGTTAATTATCCGTTACCGCCAATGGGCAGGCATAATAAAGTTAACGCTATGTCTGTTGAAAAACCGCGAGTTTCTATGGCTAACTATGATAATATGGAGAGTAATGATGGAGAAAGAAACGGTGAAGAGATGGAGGAAGAAGATGATATCCCTTATGATCATGTACGTTATGGACAATTTGGTTATAAAGCGGTGAACAGTAATGACGAAGATAAAGTTAACGTTATGTCTGTTGAAAACCCGCGAGTTACTGTAACTAACTATGATAATAGGGAGAGTATGTCGGGATTCACGGTAACGTATACCAATGATGGAGGAAGAAACGGTGGAGAATTGGAGGAAGAAGTCCCTGATGGAAGATATAACCATTATGATAATGAACGTTATGGGCAATTTGGTTATAAAGTGGTGAACAGTAACAATGAAGAGTTTGAGCCAGATGATAGGAGTTATAAATATCATGATAATGCACGTTACGAACAATTGAATAAAACGGTGGACAGTAGGCCGCAAAGTCCAGAATATCCGGAATAAGAAAATTTGGTATGGAAGGAAAGTTTAGCATGTAACTTATATTCTACCTACCGTATTTTCGCAAAATAACGGGCATGGGCGTTATTTCGAAAATTGTAACCCTTAAAATAACATATATGGCTTCAAAATAACGCCCATGCGCGTTCCGAAATAACGCACACTCCATATTAAGATGTAGTTATTATAGTAATATTAAAAAATGCATAGAAGCTAGGCTTGTTACTAAGTAAACCTACTTTCTGGCTTTAACAAAAGTTGTTTTTAAGTACGCGACAATTCTATCGGTGTTAAAATCATAAAACGGTTCAGTTATCACCCGCAATCGTTCTCCAAGTTTTAGAACGTTTGGTTATCTTTGTAGTAAACAAAGATAAACAAACGTTCTAAGCCATTGCGGGCGATTTACTGGCCGTTTTTGATTATTTCACTACCGATAGAATCATCTCGAACTGAAAAACAATTTTGTTATAGCCGAAAGTAGGTTTACTTTGCACCAAACCTAGTTACGAAGCATTTTTTTTTTGTTTTATATAAGAAAGCACTTAAAAATTTTATATTTGTCTCAAAATAACGCCCATGTGCGTACTCGAAATAACGCGCAGATGGGCGTTATTTCGCGAAAATACGGTAGATCGTGAAAAAAAAAAATCAGAGCATCCCTCAATTAATTAAAATTTTCATTCTCAACTATAGCGAATATTTCATACTTTTCAATCCTTAGGATAATTCTTTTGATAAATTAAAAATATTAAATTGAAATATTTGTTTATATACCGTGTAGATTTTAATGTAATATTATTGTATTATTTAGTATTTGTATTTATTTGTATTTAAAAGCAAACTTTAGTATATTGTTAAAAACAAAAGAATAAATTCACAAAAAGTTATGTTTTATAGTACCCAATACTTTTGCGTCTTTTGAATTCGATATCGTTATTCATGCATCCACGCATCTTACAGAAAGAAAAAAAATAAAATAAAAGCACTTATAATTGAGCATCCAATTAAACAAATCTTCAATAACGATAATGTGAATGTCCAAATTCACTTTTGTCTACTTTTGTTCGTTTGCATGCATATGGCTAATTGTTTGCTAGTGACGTTAATTGGTTAGACATTTATGCGAAGTTTTATTTCTTGGTTGTGCATTACTACAGTAAAATGTCTTTGAAATAATTATCATGGATAGAAAATTGTGGAGTCGAGGAGAATGGATACATATTCGCGCAGAATATATATATATATATTTAATTGTGTGAAATGATCCATAATCACTAAATAAAATCTATCTCTTAAGAAACCTACGATTCTTACAGATCTTCAAAGAAAAACATGACACGCTCTAGATCGCATCGATACACGAAACTATCGAATGAACAAAATTTATTAAATCAAGCCATGGAAAACTTTTATAACGTATTACGAAAAACAAAGATGGATCAACATAATGAATCAGCAAAATTTTGGATGTTGGAATACCAACAGTTTAGAACAAAAGTTATCCATGACGGATTTAACGATTTATTCGAGAGAAAATTATAGTTTAATATCCTATGGTGGCATTTATAAAATTCCACGTTTACTTTGATGTATTATTGATGGTTTCTTTGTTTTATAACGTATTTTCATCATCTTTTTAAGGCACCATAAATTCATAATATTCAGGATATTAAGACGTGATTCCTATTTTATTTAACAAATGTATTCTATATATTTTATTTAACAATAAAATTTCGTCTTTATAGTCTTGAATTTTTTAACTCTTACCCATTAATTGTACCAATGTTATTTGAGTGCCGCGAAACGAAGAAACCGGAATTGCTGATTTTTCATTTACAGAAACGAGCTTATTATAATCCGATAGCTTGTTTCCGTAAATCAGAATTCCAGTTGTTCGCTTTGTAGAAGCGCGACTGATTGATCTATACGCTGCATAAATTGTATTCTTGATATCTCTATATAAATAATAACACTAATTACATCAAAAAGGTAACCCTAACCTTAGTATGACGTGATTTTTAACAAATCAAATTTCAATATCAGGTGTAACGTAACAAACGAAGCGAAACTACATTTTACAAAAAAAAAAAACAACCAGAAATAACTCGAAATTTTAATTAAGAAACCACTTTCTGCGGTCTAATTAAAAATGCTCTTCATGAAATTTTACTATTAGGCATAAAGTCAATTTAACCCTAACTCAAACTACAACGCGGTTTTACTCTTGGTAAAAAACAAAAAAATTACAATTTTTGTAAAGATCTGAATAGAAATTTAACCTGATGGAAGATTCATGCAATGATAAATGATATTGATTTACCAAATGCATGGGATATTGAAGATAAATCACCATTTGTTAACATAAACTCAAACGGACTTAAAGTGAATTATACGGGTAAGATGAAAAGAGATTAGATTGAGCCACGCCTCAATTTAATGAATATTAATCGTTGGTAACTTAATTAAAGATCCTGATGACAGAAAAGCTGTCATAGTTCGAGCAAATTATCCAATTCTCTCACAATATGGGATATTTTATTTTGAAATTTGGGCTTTTAATTAAAATTTTTAGCATGTAATTTTGCATATATGTATATCTTCTAACCCTAACTCTAATGCTAACTCTAATTTTTTAATTAATAACCTAATTTTAATGTTTTAAATGTTAATCTGCTATATAGCAACCTGCTAAAAATTTAACAAATTTCTAAATTTAATTGTTAAAGTATCTTTTATCAAAATTTTTAATTTTATTTGATAAATTTTCTAAAATTTTGTCTTAACCATTTAACCAAATTTAATTAAAATTTTTTAGTTTTACAAATTAATAAAATTCAAATAAAATTTTTTTTTTTATTAAGTTCGATTAGATAATTTAAATTTCAATATACCGATACGTAATCTTTTTTAAAATATCCTAATATATAACCATTTAATCAAATTTAATAAAAATTTATTTAAATTTTACAAATTTGTAAAATTTAAATAACTTTTTTTATTAAACTTAATTAGATAATTATTAAAAAATTTTAGACAAAAGTTTCAAAGCATGTAACTGGTAATTAAAAAAATCATATAATTAAAATAATTACGCTAGTACAAATAATTTCTTTATAATATTGATAGCAATGTGATTACATAATGATTTTAGATAATGGTTCTGAAAATAGTTACCATAAGCCAATTGTGCTTATAAAGGTATAAATAATATTAAAGTAGTTGGTTTTTATAAATGTAATGATAAAATTTGTGACTGTATAGTAGGTGACTAAAAAGAAGTCTAACTGTATATTAATTTGGCACAGATAATTACAGTTGATGTTGTTTGCCGTTACGTTGGGTGTTGGCACGGAGGTCGATCCTAGGTTTGTTTTTGCTTGACATTAGGGAACTCTATCGGTAACTGTTCACGAATTAGCAAAGTCTGATGTCATTAGACCTAAAGATGAATATGAATATGAAATTTTAATGATTTTCAAAAAAAAAAAAAAAAAAAAAAGGCAAACTAAACAGTATGCTGAACAATATTGCAGACAACGATAAGATAAGAATGACAGATGCTATTATATATTGAAACCAACCCTCAATTTGTTCCGGATCTTCTCTACGTATTCCAGTATATAAAGTATTTGAGGTTTTGTATAAACGCAATTCTGTTTCTCTCTTTCTCCAGAGGTAAAAAGATATTGAGAGGTAAAATATAATGACAATGGCAACCCAGATGTAATATGCAGTAACCAACGGACTTCCAACTTGGTATAGAGCAAGACCAAGAGATATCTGATAAAAGGATCCAATAGCTAACATTCTTCCAAACCACCTATTCGAAAAGTGAATGAAAACGTTGACAAAAAGAAAAATATAATTAAATAATAAAACAAAGACATTAACCAAAAAAATACACACCAATGAAGCCTCGTCCACCAAGGAATGTATTTACGGGCAGGATCGTAAAGATGGTGATGAATCCAACCTAAGGCTAATTGAAGGAAGAAGCAAATAAAAATAATCACACCAATAACCTATATAAAAAAAAAAAAAACGAAAGTTAAGGTGGTTTAAAAATAAAATCGTAATATAGCACAAAAAACATATTACGTGATGTGTGTTGTTGGAGTTAAATTTAACACCGGCAGCAATAGCCATTAGTAAACCAATTATGATCAATGGTACACCTAAGAAAGTCATGATGCCCCAATGTAGCGCGACAAATTGTTTCATAATATTCCTTGTGAAGCGAATAACATATATTCCACCAGGTATAACAACGCCCCAAGTGAAAAACATTAAAAGACCTAAAAACATAAAAGACAAAACTCAAATATTAATTATAATATACAATCAATGGTCATATTTAAAAAAAGTAACACACCATGAGCAATTATATATTTATCATAATTTGAAATAGATCCAGTTATCGTAAAATGACCTATGTCATTGTGACGAGTAATGGTCATAGTGTAAGGATCATCAGAAGGGCGTGAAGTAGTGTGAAGAGCCCAGACAAAATTTTGGGTAGTAGAAGTAATAGTTGAATTGGTAACGACAAGTGGACGTGTAAAGATCACGGTAAATACACCATCTTTAACACCACTAGAGGGTGATAACGTTATATCACTTTGATGTTCAGTTACTTCCGGGACGGCATATCTATAGGCAACGCGTTGAGAAATAGCCACAGTATTTGTTGTGGTAGGCCATGCCATCTATAAAGAGAAAATTGAGCGAAAAGTCACCAATTGCTAAATTCAACAAAGTTAGAATACATACTACTATATAACTTCCAATCATAGAATCACCGATTCCCATAGCAATCCAACTAGTAGGTAAATCAAGACAAATTAAATAAGCGAGATACACATTGGGATACACATTGGGAGATAAGTTATTGTAGAACAAGGCAATCTTTACCCAATGGTTGAAGGGGCCGTCATCTCAAATGTAGCGACATCATCAGCATTCATCGTACTTGGGATCGTGACAGTCAAACAATAATTATTTGCAGAATTACAATTTTTGATTTGGGCAAAGACGCCTATAACGAAAAACAGAAGTCATTCTTAATGACATTGGTCGTTTGTATGTTAACGTTATATTAACACTAGTTACCTTGAAACAGGGCAACCCAAACAACCAAAACTAAAAAAATAGATCGTTTCTTCATATTGATATTAATCGTATGTATTTCGTATCGAAGCGAACAATCGAGACGAACTTTATTACAACCTAAAAAAAATAGGATAAAGGTAGATAAATGAAACGAAAGATGGCTGTGAACATAAACAATCTAAAAGGAAAAGAATATCAATTGCGATATTTTTGATGGGGCTTATATATGTATGAATTTTAGGCTTGGTGTTAAAATTTAATAGAATTATGGATTGATGCATAAATGAGAGTATAGATCAATTTAGTATGGGTTACCTGATCAGTATAGTATTTATGCTTTTTCAAAATGATATGTGTGCGTACATACATACGTACGTAAGTACGTACATATACATACATACGTATGTGCCAGATATCTATTTCTGCTTTGCCGAAGTATTCGGCATTGAGTTTTAATATAAATTCGAGTTATTTCCGAAATAACTCTGACGTACGTACGCGCGTACTGTACTGTAAACCTTCATACTACACTTATCCGGTCACCGATACGACACGTATGAGATAAATAAGATGATGTGGCTGTGTTATCACTATGAAAAATAAGCCGGTATCACCTTTTTATCGTAAACAAAAATGGCAAACGACCTTTGAACAAGTACGTACATATGCACACACCCATTAACAAAGTACAGTTGCTGGCTAGTGTAAATACACTGCAACTTCGAGCCTTTAAATTCTCAAAACATTGCCACGTATTCTCTATGAAGTGTCATAGCACATTGAGGGGCTTTGATGATGATTGGACTCATCATTCAATAACACCTGTCGTTGTCATGAATGAGGCTTTGCCAATATTTATTGTTCAACGATAAGCCACGCTTCCAATCAAATTGATTGTTCTTCATCATTATTCATCATTAGAATTTAACCTATAAGAGTGGTGACAAGTATAAACAAGTAGCGACTTGTCAAATCTCTTAAACTTTAAATAAGGAAAATTCATTGTATTTTAAGCTAAAATAGGCATTTTATCATCATCATCATTCAATGCATCTAAAAAAAAAAAAAAGGTTATAATTATCGTTATACTGTATCGATATGGTTATTTCTATTATTAATTCAATGAACATTATCGTTATACATATTACTAATTCATTCAATGAACATTATACGTACGTATTATAAAGTTTATCCTAAAAAAATTCCATAAGTCGATCAACCTACATTATGTAAATATTGCATATCATAAATATTCGAGAAGCGCGTGTGGTGTCGCGTGAGAAATGGATGACACGAGACACGAAATAACGGTTACGTTTTATGGAAATCTGTCAATTTCAAAAAATTTTTCCGTGTTCCTGTTAAAATATAAATTTCAAGAAAGTTGACCTGAATTGTTCTAATTCTTGTGATTTGTTTTTCTGTTTAATTTGAATTCGTTAGTTCATATATTATTCTTTCCAATAAAGAAGACTGCCTGTGGCTTACTAACCTTGCAGCTGCTAATCGATATGAATTTTTAATGTGATAGTGAAACATCATCATTTTATGCTATCATCCTCATTTTCAAAATTATATAATTTTTCTTATTCTTATGTTTCTGGTGGCATAAATCATTTATTGATATGTATTTATTTTTTTGTATATTAAAGACACCGAGAGAGATCTAACAATTCACTAGAATAAAGATATATATATATACTGTTTCAATTATAAATAATTTTTTATTTTTTATTTTTACCTTTTTACCCGTGGATTAAACTAAACTCATGAACTATCACTATATACTATTTAAATCTTTGATCTTCGTGATCCTCATGGGTGCATCTTAAAAATATGCGAAGTGAGTATGCCAAAATCAAATAATTGTTTAATAACACTTGTTGAATGATGATTACTTATATGCATAATGAGGCGCCCTTCCTAGATGGGTGGTACGTTAATTCTTTATGGTTATTAATATTATTAACTTTAAGCTACTCATTAGAGCTAATTCTACGTACGTACGTACGTACAATCTTAAATATGTCATTGGCCGCAGTAACTATTGATATATAACCTTCCACAAAGTAAATAATTGTCGATTAAGATATATATCGTAATAAAATTGCACGAGGAGGGGGAGAACTTTTGGTTAGTGATCGGAAGATTCATTATTTTTAAATTTTTACGCTACTTGTTCTTTTCTAAATTTTTACGTTACTTGACCTTTTCTCAATTTTTTTCTCGATTTTTAATTGGAATATCATCACGTGGTCGGAAAATTTTTTACTGCATGCAATCTTCTACGGCGATCATCCCATCTATTCCATAAAAAAAATTTTTTTGAATCGAGTAACTTTACTCTTTTTTAAGAGATCAAAATTTATCTCATTTAAAAATTTTTGGAATCTTATATTTAATTCAATGTTGATATTTACAAAAGATAGTTTCGAAGTAGAGAAGTTTGCCATAAAAGATACGAATCATCAAAATAATCGATCTATTTTTCAACCAAGGTAAAAATATCTATTAGATTTTTTTTTTTCCTTTAAAATAAGTCTTAATTTTGTTTAAATAAATTAGTCAACAAAGTAATAGAATAATAATAATAGTTGGATAATTAAAACATCGTTAGAATGCAGATGTCTGAGGGACAAATGTTAAATTATGAAGAGATATTAAATCATCTTGCTAAATATGATGAACTGATAGAGGTTCGTGAAGAAGGTGCTGAAATTAGAGAATATTTGGATTCTTTAACTGAAGATCAAAGGTATTGTATTTGTGCTAAAATATTTCACCTATCGTTTCAGGCTTGCTTATATATTTAAGTACTGTTTAGCACTACCTCTAGTACCCAGGGTCTTATTCAAATTAATTTGATTAATACCCACGGGTACTTTGTATAGTAACGGATACTTTGTATAATAGCGGATACTATGTATAGTAGCGGGTATTATGTATAGTAGCGGGTATTATGTATAGTAGCAGGTACTATGTATAATAGTGGTTACTATGTATAGTAGCGAGTACTTTGTATAAAAGCGAGTACTATATTTGAAGCAAACTAATATAAATATATTCCTGAGTATTATTCAAGAATCTTAATCATGGTGTATTATTTATAAGTAGTGCTAAACGGTTTATTTTCACTATTATCCATATTCTTCATTTTTGTTATTATGTTATTATTGTTCAATTATTATAGGCAAGAATATTACCCAACTGTTGATGAATTTTTACGGAGACTACAATCTGAAAACGAAGTAAAAGATCAAAATATTGAAATGAATGATGTTATTGTTGGCAACGAAAATGAGGATCAACTAAAAGATTCAAAAATTGAGGTATATCAATTTACTATAATGTTATGATTTAAACTTATGTATTCGTTTTAATTCTTAAAGTTTCAATTCTTCAATTACACTCGGTTAGTCCGGAAAAAAGAATGATGAAAGGCCAGGCTTTGAAGGTCGCCATTTACCAAAACTAATACAGATGCTTGAACGTGGAACCACTGATAAACTTCCAAGAAAATTCAAACGTAAGTTAGGAAAAAGACAAATAAATCCTAGGGCTAATAGTAAAATTAGAAAATATGTAGCAACTCATGGGTTTCAACCTTCTCCTATGCTTGACGAGGATGATGTATGATATCCGCAAGTTTTTGTGTAACATAATTCGATAATTCTTTTGCTTGAGATCTGTTTCTAAAAATTGTATTTCATTATTGTATGGATTCGTAGGTGATATATAGTTAGCATTACATTTTATAATACTCATTCTTTGGCGTATTTGTGTGGTTGCTTATTTGAACACATCATAACTACTGTTTTCTTTGCGTAGATCCAACAATTAAGTAGTTAAATATAGATTCTTCTACCCCCAAAAAAATTCTTTTAATAAATATCATTATTTGACAAATAATATTTCATGAATATGTGCCTGATATTTTGATTAATGTCTTTTTGTATTAAGGTTCATAGGTTCACGATGTATAAAAGAAATTTAAAATCAAACCTCAATTGAATTGTATCTACTAATTAATCAAGTTAATTTTTTAAAAACCTCTAAAGAAAAATGAAAATAAATTATTTGCATCTGTTATATTTATATTTTTCTGTTAGTTATTCCAAATTCACCTCTACTTTTTAAAAAATTATTTAAGGATGATTTTAGCGTATCAAAGTGAAATTGCTGTTTCACAAAAACAGCAAAAATGTTCAGCAACGAAAAAACTGTAACATCTAGTTTAATTTAAGCCCTAAACTCTAATTCTGAAGTTTACTTAATTTGAGGTAAAATTTTATATATCATATATTTATCTATATATTATATTAACGTTAATTTCGTCCGAGGACATTGGCCAATTAGAATCGTGACACAGTGCTAGTAATAATAATAAACCAGAATTTTATCTTTAGTGAAAATAAAAAAATTTTTGGAATATTTTGTTTTAAGCACATATTATTTAATTATAAATTATAGTATACAAATAACTTCTTTTAATATTAAAATATAATTGTTTAGTTAACAAATTTTATTAGTATTAGTATTATATATAATTTATAAATAAATTTAGTTTATAAGTTTTTTTTGAAAAATGGAATTTTTGGTTTTATTTTTTTTATTTTTATTTTGCTGTTAAGGTGACCTCTTGGTTGTGTTTCTTTTATTTGATTATGGTTTAACTTTTATAGTATAGTATTATACTATATTTATATTTGAAGAGTACAACTAGCTATATGTATAACTTTTGGTTGCCTATTTGAATAGTCCACTTATTACTAAGTTCTACACTAGATGCCATACCTATAACCCAACTAGAGGGTTATCTATTTAAATCTTTTGTGTTTATAAATATTAATTCTAC